TTATCATAATCAAGCTCACCAAAATCAAAGATAAGGAGAGAATCCCAAAGGCAGCTAGGGAAAAGCAAAATGTAACATACAAAGGCAAGCAAATCAGACTAAGCTCAGATTTCTCAACAGGAACTATGCAGGCAAGAAGGCAATGGGAAGACATATATAAAACCCTGAAAGAAAAAACTGTTGATCAAGAATCCTCTACCCAGCAAAGCTGTCAATCAAATATGACAGTGTAATTAAAACATTCCAGGATAAACAGGAACTAAGGGATTTTGCCAAAGTCAATCCTGCAATGAAAAACATCCTAAAAGGAGTTCTGTGGACAGAGAACAAACAAGAACAGACAACAACCAGAGATTGATGTACGTGGCAGGATCACCTGGAAGTCAATTGACAAATGGAAGAGTCAAGAACAGAATAAAACTGTAAGAACAAATTCAGAGGATCTGGGAGGTCCATCTATTATCAAAACAATTACAATGTGAAAGAAGGTAAACACAGAGGAACAGAGATCTAGGTGGTGGGAAGGTCAGGTAAATTACTGGATAAAATAGACTGCCTTAAATGGGGGTAAAAGTTAAAGAAATATAAGGTAACCACAACGGTGAGGTTGGGGTGGGGGGTTTCAGGGGAGGTGGAGGGAGGCAACAGTAGAGCACAGGGTAGAGGCAGACACATCATAGTTCTGGTGTAGGAGAGGGCAATATAAGAAGGAAGAGGAGGCAAAAGAACAAGGTAGATAGAGGAGCACTGAGACAGGTTTGAATGGACTAAGTGGGACATATGTATATAGTGATGCATGCTTAACCTTGGAACAACAGAGCTCTATGATACAGGGATCTAGGCATAGTTTGAAGAGGGGAAATAATACTAAGATGCTTGACTGTCTTATGAATTTTGGTTTCCCTTGTCAACTATTGTAAAACAGACACTTGAGATAGAAAGAATGTCGAGAAACATGATTACAGAAAACTTGTAAGCCTGTTTTTAGCCTATAACTGATTGGAATACCTAAAAGGGGTTCTAGAACTTGCCCAGTGAAACAGGCCTCTTGTGGAGCCTTTGCAGAGTACAGGACATTAGGTGGAATCCTGAGTCCTATCCAGAATCTTCTGAGGTGGGACATTCCCACTAGAAAGGACAAGAAGACCAGCCAAGAAGAGCTAGAGCAACAGAAGATGCATCTTCAAAGAAAGATCATCAGGAAAAACCCAAAGCAAAATGCAGTATGACTGGCTACTGCAAGAATAAGCAAGCTGTTTTCCGGGAAGCCATCAAGGCAAACAATCCAGTTCTTTCAGGACAAACCCCCCTCTAAGACTGAAACATAAAGGGAACACATGAGCAGGCATGTAAACTTGCTGGCGAGCATGTTAGTCTACTGGTGAGTGGAAGAGGGGGAAAGGCAGCAATGAAGAAATGAGCTGAGTTCAACCACAGTCCATTGACTCCCATTGACCTGGAGATGAGAGCTAAAAGAGAGAGTGCTGCTGGTCCAATATGTGGTGATAACTGGGAATACCTGAGCCCATGGACAAGGACATAGCCATAGAGGGCTAGAGCTGAGAGTAAAGCTTCCAGCTGATATGAAGTGAGGGGAGAGACACAAGAACACCCAAAGTTGCAGACAGTACCCATTTGACCTAGCCTCGATGGCTTGATAATCAGAACTCGACTAGAGGAAGATTACCACAAAAAACAAACAATTTTGATAAAGGAAACAAGGATAAATTGCTTCAATTTGATGAACTTGACCTATACTTATGGAGGTTGTTGTTGTTGTTGTTAAGTGCCGTCGAGTTGGTTTCGACTCATAGCGACCCTGAACAGGGTTTCCGAGGCTGTAAATCTTTACGGGAGCAGAAAGCTTCATCTTTCTCCCGCGGAGCAGCTGGTAGTTTCGAACTGCGGACCTTGCAGGTTCGCAGCCCGATTCGTAACCACTACGCTACTTATGGAGGTAGTAACTCTAAATACCAACAGAAAGGGAAGGAGTCTTCACATGAAGTGTCAATTTTATCCCCTCTGTATGTAGGGTAGATAGGGATGGGCAACTTAGACATTAGCTACCTAACATGAGGGGGTGATAAAGGCACGAAGTGACTGGCTTACAAGGTTTCAAGAGGGAGTTTAATTTAAGAGTGGGGGTGGGGGAAGAAAGAGTCCCCACTGAATAGTTTTCATCTTGTCTAGACAGGTCTGGTTAAAAGTGATGGGGATAAGATTCTTACAATTCAATAGTGAGTAATTGTTATCATGACTAATTAGACTGTTACAACTGTAAAGGTAGAAGTTTTGTAACAACAATGGGGGAGCAGTTAATCTTGCAGTCCAGAAACAGAGGACCCTAGGATGATCAAGGGAGAAGAGCACAAGTGGAATATGGACCCTTATCCAGAGAAGCAGCAACACCAGAGATGGAGGCAGAGATGGGGACATGGAAAGGGGAGCAGCTGAGGACTCTAGATTCATGGGAAGAGAGGGACTAAGAGATGGTGACCATGAGGCAGACTTGCAGAATGTGCCCTTTGGTGGTGTAAATTATTATATATGCCTCTTAAAAAAAAAAAGAGCTAAAGTGAATAGAGAAAAATACTGTTAACTGATGGTACATGGAGGGGAATGTAATCATTGTGATGAAACAAGTTCTATGATTTGTTGAACGTAAAATTGATGATCTGTCCTGTAAACTTTCACTCAATCCACAGTAAAAACTTAAAGAAAAAAAAAAAGGTCAATATAATTTTTTTTTATTCAATATTATATAAAAAAAAAAGCCTGGCTTACTAGTCAGAAAGGGACTAGAGCTGCCCAAGACTATGACCCTTCAGGTCTGGAAAGGAATTCACCATCATACCCAATTTTCAGCCAAACAGTGAATAAGTCTATAGTGGGGACAACAGCACTAGTAAAGAATGTTCACCACGGAATGGCCAGCCATTCAAGATCAAAGGGCACCATTTTCCTAAGGACAAAGTTGAGAAGGGATGGGAAGGTGGGTGGAATGCAACTAGGAGCCACAGGGAGGAAGCAGGAGAATTGTTTTTGCATGGAGGGAATTTCAATCACTGAAATGAAACAAAGTGTATGATTTGTTGAATGTAAAACTGATAATCTTGTCTGCAAAAAAAACCCACCCCAAAACTAATTGCTACAGGCACTATTTTCTAGATACTATTTTTCTAGGTAGGTATGGGTATCTAAGGAATATCTCAACATATCCAAAACCAAGTTTCTAAATTTCTTTCTAAAACCTACTTTGCCCCACTTCAATAAATGGCAACTCTGTTCTTTCATGTGGAGTCCTGGTGTGGCTCTGTGGGTTAATGCTCTGGACTGCAAAGTTGGTTTGAACCTCAGAGTCTATGGTTCAAGCTCACCAGTCGCTCCTTGGAAACCCTGATCAGTGTTGCTATGGGTCAGAACCGACTCAGTGGCACTTAACAACAACAATTCTTCCATGTCCTCAAGCAAAACAGGAAATCACCCTTGATGCCTTTGTTTGTCATACATACCACATCCATCATCAAATACTGTTGACTCTACCTTCAAAGTTAATACCCACAATAAATCACTTCCTACTACCTTCTCCATCATCTTTCAACTGGGTTACTCCAAGTTTCCTAACTTCTTTCCTTTCCCACCTAGAATTTTAGCTAGAATAATACTTCCAGGGTAAGCCTTTTGGTCCGTTGACACCACTCTTCTACTTCAGAACCTTCCAGTGTCTTTTCTCATTCACAGCAACAAGTCCTACCAGGTTCTATAGCCCCTGCCTACCCACATCTCATACCTCTCTGACCTCATCTCTCCTCACTTGCTTCATTTGAACATGTTCTTCCTTAAACATACAGGCACATTTCTGCCATAGGGCCTTGACACCTACTGTTTCCTCAGCCTGCAATGTACTTCTCCCTGAAAAAGTCACATGATTTGTTACCTCAACGCTTTCATTTATCACCTTCTCAGTAAGACCTTTCCTGACCATTCCATTTAAAACTACAACCCTAACTATCACCCAAATCCCTATCCCGTTACCCAGCTTTATCGCCACTGTATCATTTATCATAGTGTATTTGCTCCTAAAGAACTATATAACTTACACATTCAATGTATCAGTCTCTCGGTTCTATAACAAGTTGAACTGTATCCCCCAAAAATACATGTTGTAAATCCTGACTCTTGTGTGTGTTGTTGTTAAGTGCCATCAGGTTGGTTCCAACTCATAGCAACCCTGTATGTAATCTCATATGGAAATAATGTTTTCTTTATTATGTTAATAAAGCTATATCAGTGTAAGGTCTGTCTTAAATCAATCACTTTTGATATATAAAAATAGCAGCTTAAGCAGAGAAGTGTGCACAAACGGAGCAGAAGATACAGGCCACATGAAGATAACTAAGGAACAGAAACTGAAAGCAGACATGGGCTTCCCCCAGAGCCAAAAATAAAAGCTTTCTTCCTGAGCCACAGCCCTGAGCTCAGACTTCTTGCTTCTTAAACTGTGGTTCCATAAGACAAGCACTGGACTGCAAACTACAAAGTTGGCAGTTGAGCCCACCAGCCACTCCATGGGAGAAAGCTGAGGCTTTCTGATCTGCTTCACAAAAGATTTAAAAGCCTCGGAAACCCTATACAGCATCACTATGAGTCGAAACCAAACTCCAGAACACTTAACAACAATAGCACAAACTGTGAAAAAATAAATTTGTTTGTTAAAGCTACCTGCTTTGTGCTAGTTCTGATCTAAACTAAGGCACTCTCTTCATGAAAGTATAAACTGCATGAGGGCAGGCATGTTTTTGTATGGGTTGTAGAAAGTTAATTCCCAGCATGTGGGCCTGGTTGACATACTGATGGAGAGCAACACTGGTCATTTTTCCCCAAAGCAGCAGCAGGCAAATGAACCCCAGAGATTTGTTAATGAGTAGAATAAAATTAAAAAAAAAAAAACTTTCATTAAGAACAAAGCCTACGAAAAACAAAAATATGCTCCATTTATTCTATTTTAATTTGGATGTATGTATGGCGGTAAAATTCAAACAAAAGAGCATTTCTTCAGGACTTCCGGCAATGGCTTCTGTAACAATCCTGTATTGTCCCTAAAACAAGGAAAAAGAAATACAATGTAAAATTCTTATTGTTTCTATTTTAAAGTTCTTATAAGAATTTTATTGTTTAAATGAAAGCAATTTTAAATTGAATTGATTATAAGTTTTTGTTTTCCTATGTGATAAAATTTTCCAAGCCTTTGAATTTAGTGAGCATAAAATTCATTTGTTTTTATAAAATTATGTATTTAAAATTTTAGAGACTAGTCTACGAGTTTTTAAAATTTTAGATATAATTTGTAAAAAAAAAAAAAATAGCTGAAGAGTATACAGTGCTAAAGTTTATTGTAAGTCACTAAAAAGTAAAATTTCCTTGATAGGTATGTAATGCAAATATCCAAATTTATATCTGTATTATTCACTGAGGCATTAAGTAGTTTTACAAAGGTCTAGATGTTCATACTAAGTTTTCAAGAAAAATCTTGTAACAAAAATAAATCTATAGTTTATGTGATTATTGGTCTCCCAATTCTTATATTTAGTATATTACATAAATTACAAACATATATATTTAGTACACCTACTCCTTCCTTACTTGCTGACTGTCTCGTTAGCTGACACTTTGCATTTACAACAATAGTAAAAGAAATCTACTATCCAACTGTTTTTCGAAATAACAATGTATGTCTGGCAGTAATGAATGCTGAAGTAGGAGGCAAGAGTATCGCTGGCTTCAATGATTAAGATTATATGTCAGCTTGGCTAGGCCATGATTATCAGTGGTTTGGCAGTTATATGATGATATAATTTGGTAAGGATGTAATTTGGCAGCTATATAACAATGTCATGTGGCAGTTATATAATAATGTAGTCATCCTCCATTTTGTGATCTGATATTCATCTTCCATTTTCACATAATGCTGATTTTTGCATACTGACCTGATCTTTGGAATCCAACCATGTCAGTATGTGAAGAGTATATACATACATATACTCTTTTTAAAGTATATACCTACTTAAAATACTTACTGATCAAAGACTATAGCCTTCAGTATGGATTGCATCTCAATGTAAAGAAAACAAAAATCCTCACCACTGGACCAATAAACAAACATTTTTATCGATGGAGAAAAGACTGAAGTTGTCAAAGACTTCATTTTTCTTGGAATAACCATCAACCCTCATGGAAGCAGCAGCCAAGAAATCAAATGATGTATAATCAAAGTGTTAAAGAGCAAAGATGTCACCTTGAGTACTAAGGTGCATCTGACCCAAGCCGTGGTATTTTCAATAATTTCATATGCATATGAAAGCTGGACAGTGAATAAGGAAGACCGTAGAAGAATTGATGCTTTTGAGTTATGGTGTAGGAGGAGAATATTGAAAGTGCCATGGGCTGCCAAAAGAACAGATCTGTGTTGGAAGAAGTGCAGCCAGAGTGTTCCTTGGAGGCCAGGATGGCCAAACTTCATCTCTCGTACTTCAGACATATTGTCAGGAGGGACAAGATCACTAGAGAGGGATATCATAATTGGTAAGGTGGAGGGTCAGAGAAAAAGAGGAAGACCCCCATTGAGATGGATTGGCAAAGTGGCAGCATCAATGGGCTCAAGCATGGCAACAATTGTGAGGTTATCCCAGTACCAAGCAGTGTTTTGTTCTGTTGCGCGTAGGGTCACTATGAGTCAGTACAGACTCAATGGCACCTAACAACAACAACATATACATATGTGCCAAATATTTATAAACAGCATTGTTAAATACATATAAATATTTGGTATACAATATAGAGAGAGTTACTGAGTTATCCACATGATTGTTCAGTGTTATAATCTGAAGATTACTTGATATACTCATAAGATTATTTGATAAACTAATAATGAGTCATTGTATTACTTTTAGCAAAACATGTTAGAAGAGAAAATGCAGTAAAAAGAGACTTTCTTTTGTGTAACTTTTTTCCTATTCCACAGAAAAACAAATGATCAAAATGAGGGGAGACAATGAAACAATATACAATAGGATAAATGTAAAGCTAACGTTCTCCCATGTAAACTATCACATAATTCACAATAAAACATTTTTTTAAGTCATTAAGAAGACAAAAAAGAAATAAAATGTTCAAAAAAAATGAGGGGGGAAAGTGGAAAAATAGTCTTGATCATCTTAATCTATCACTTCTATTTTTAAAGGTTGTGAATTGCTTCTTTCAAAGTCTTAACATGTCTGCTACTGCAAAATGTTGAGAAAATACAAAACAAATCTTAAACAATACCTTAGAAAAATGTATTTCGTTGAAGGAGAATGGTATTGTTGTATTCACAGTCTCTGCAAAAATAAAATATATATATATTAGTCATTTCTGTTGTTGTTAAGTGCTGTTAAGTCGGTTCTGACACATAGCTACCCTGTATGGACCAGCTAGTAGGCTTGAACCATAGACCTTTGGCTTAGCAGTTCAGTGCTTATCCTATAGCACCACACAATTATTAGGTGTTTTTTCTAGGCTTTTTGGTCTGTTGGTTGGTTGGTTGGCAGTATGGAGAGCCCCCTTTACACTTTTACTACTGGCAGGAGACAGGCCTTAGTAAAACTGTAATGAAATTATGACTCTCATACCCTGGCTGCTCTTCCCATGTGCTTTCTTAGAGCTGCAGATACTCTCCAGCAGCCTGTGCTGAGCCTCCCCATGATGCTTCCTCTCATAGATACCTGTTGTCCAAGGGCTTTCCAAGATTGTGATCCTTCTAGAAACAGATGCCAAATCTTTCACCCACTGAGAAGCTGGTGGGTTTAAACCACCAAATTTTCAATAAGCAGTTGAACACTTAACCACTTAAGTGCATGTGCCACCAGGGATCCTGGTATCTTTGAAAGCATGTAACAAATTTGAATCTAATTTCTGACTTAGTTATGAGCCTGTTTCCTCCACTAGTCTGTGAGCACCATGGGGGCACATGCTTTGCTTTGGTTACCCCTGGTTCTACGACTGGCTATGTAATTTGCAAAGTCCAATGCAAAATGAAAATTGGGGGAGGGAGGGGGCTTATTCAAAAGGAGCCCTGATAGCACAATTGATTAAGTACTGGGCTGCTAACTACAAGGTCAAAGGCTCAAACACCAGCAGTTGCTCCTCAGGAGGAAGATAAGGCTGTCAACTCCTATAGACATTTACAGCTTCAGAAACCCTACAGAGCAGTTGTACTCTGTCCTACAGGATTAATGTGAGAAGGTTTTGTGTCAACTTGACTGGGCCAGGATTCTTAATGGTTTGGCGATTAAGATTTGGCAAACAGTTACCCCCATAATGAGATTTAATATAATATAATCAACTCTATGATAGAGTCCCAGTGTGGCCCTGTAGGATAAGCACTGGATTGCTAGCCACAAGGTTGGCAGTTCAAACCCACCTGTGACACTTTGGAAACCCTATACAGGGTTGCTATGAGTTGGAATGACAACCTGATGAGGTCTGCTATGAGCAGTAAATCAATTTGAAAAGATGGTTCCTTGGGGATGTGTCCTGCTTCCAATATGTTGTACATTAGGGCAAGGCTTGCTTGCTCTCTACTGGGTCTGGATCTTGCATATGTCTCACCTGACCTCTAATTCTTTGGACTTAAGTCAGTGGTCTGCTCTATTATCAGCCAATCCTGGGAGCCATCAGCATCTACCATCTCACCATCCAATCTTGGTTCAGCAGCCCTGCAGCTATGTGAGTCAGAAGCCCCCAGCCTGACATCTAACCCACGGACTTGGAATTGCCTGTTTCTACAACTGTGTAAGCCGCTTCCTTGATATAAACCTCTCTTTATGTATACATAGTAGCAAAGTGGATTACGAGCTGGGCTGCTAACTACAAGGTCAGCAGTTCAAATCTACCAATCACTCCATAGGAAAAAGATGAGGATTTTTGTTCCAGCAAAGACTTACAGCCTTGGAAATCCTATACAAGGTCATTGAGTTGCAACTGACTTGGTGGCATACAACCACCACCATGTATACATATATATAAGATTCACTGGTTTTGCTTCTCTAGAGAAGCCAGACTAAGACAGTTGCTATTAGTTGGAATCAACTTGGCAGTGGGGAAGGTTTGGTTTCATAGTTCAAAAAGCAGGGGACCCAACAGCCAAGCAGAGGCAGTGACCCAGCACTAGAAGCCGTGGAGCTGCACGTCTAGAGGGAGAGGTGTAACGGATTTTTCATGTTTCACCTTTCATTTTTCACATATCTTTCCTTCTCACTCCGATTGTGCCCTCACTGCCCAGCCCAGACGCCTTCAGACAGGTGAGAGCACACCCCCAAAAGAGTTCAGCATTGCACCCACAGTTTTCCAACGGCACAGAGAAGAAACCCACAGGCTGCTTCTAATGACGTCTGACTCTGGGACTCAGCCCCAAAGTTGACCTGTGTGGGACCCTTTATCCCTGTCTGCACAGCAAAGGCCAGTGGACAGTGTCTATCACAATTTTAGTTTTGGTTTTGATTGGTGGTTTCTGTCTCAGCTTTTATAGTGTCTCTTTCTGGTCCTTTTGACCTCATTCTTCTCCCAGGGATTGGAGCTTTGTCCCCCTACCTTACCCAAGAAGAGACAGCAACTGTGCCCATACAGCTAAGCTACAAGGATACCCTGTAGTACCCCACCATCTGGACAAGAGCCAATAGCAGTTGCTAGGCATTACATGTGAAAAGGGAAGCCTATCTCCAGATCATATCCACCAGGAGATGCTCAGCAAGCTTAACAACAAAGCAACATACATACATTTAAGCATTAAAAACTCACATTACTGCTGAAAATGTCCAAGAAAACACAGTTAAAGATCACATGTCCTCAACACATGTCCAAAAACAGAAAAAAGTAACTGAGATAAATGAGCTGGAAGCAGACATAGACTTTCCAGTAGAAGAGCAGGCTCTGGATCTGCCTGAGAAGGAATTCAGAAGAATGATATGGGAATAAATTCAAAGGGTCTGAAAAGGGGTGGAGGAAAATAAGGAAGAAGTCAGGAAAGTGCTACAGGAGCAATCAAACAAGATAGATACAGCATTGGAAACAATCCAAAACCTGCAAAAAGAAGTCCAGATGATTAATAATAAAATATCAGAAATGGAAAATACACTGAAAGGGCAAAGGAGTAGAATAGAAGAGATGGAAGCCAGAACCAGCAAGCTGGAAGACAAATCTCTCAATATTGCTGAGATAGAAGAGCAAGCAGTAAAAAGGATTTAAAAATCTGAAGAGAGTCTAAGATTCATGCTGGATAACATGAAGAGGAATAACTTAAGAATTATTGGTATTCCAGAACAGGAAGAATCACAGAAGTCCACAGAAGAAATAGTTGAAGAGCTTCTGGAAGAAAATTTTCCTAACATCTTGAAGGATGAGAAGATAAACATGCAAGAAGCTGAACAAACCCCAGGAAGGATAGATTCCAAAAGAAAATCACCAAGACATAGCATAATCAAACTCTCCAAAATCAAAGACAAGGAGTGAATCCAAAAAGTAGGGGACCCAAAAAATGGGTGAAAAACTTGAACAGACATTACACTAAGAGGATATTCAAACAGTCAACAAGTGCATGAAAATATGCCCAAATTTATTAGCTATTCCATAAAAAATGAAACTACTGCCATAAAGTTGATTCATACTCAGAGAGGCACTATAGGACATAGAGCTGCTCCGTGGAGTTTCTGAGATTGTAAATCTTTATGAGAGCAGAAAGCCTGATCTTTCTCTCTTACAGCAGCTGCTGGGATTGAACCATCAACCTGTGGTAAGCAGTCCAACGCTTACTCCACTATACCACCACAACTCCTTTGTTAGCCACTTAAAACAAAAAACAAACAAACCCACTGCCTTGGTTGTTTAAACAATTATGTATCCCTGTGTGGTTTATATTTTTGTTTTTTTGTTGTTTATTTTGTACATCAAGGGGCAAAAAAGGGGGGAGTTCTTGACAATCTATGAGGGTTTGGTGGGGGGAAGAGGAAATGATATATGTACTAGAGTGTAGACATATGTTGACATGAGTGATGAGGCAGACAATATACAACTGGAGGGAGGTTGGCAGAGTAAAGATGGGGGTGCCAGGAGGCACAGAGAGGAATGCAGAGGTTAAAGTGAGCAGAGGTAAATGCTGTTAACTGTTGGTGCATGGAGGGAATTGCAAACATGTAATGAAGCAAAGTATATGATTTGTTGAATGTCAAACTGATGATCTGCTCTGTAAACCTTCACTCAATTCACAATAAAAAGTTTTTAAAAAACAAACACTGTTTAATATGTTGTTAAGTTGTTAAGTGCCGTCGAGTCGGTTGCAACTCATAGCGACCCTGCATAGGGTTTCCAAGGAGCAGCTGGTGATCTTGAACTGCTGACTTTGCAGTTTAAACAGCTTTGCAGTCTGGCACATTAACCCACAGTGCCACACCAGGACTCCACTGTTTAATACAGTGCTGAATAAATGAGGCAAGCTATCAATGGTTGAGTGATCAATGGTTCTGCTATTAATTGATTTGTTTTTCGTCAATAAATTTGCATAAACCAATAAAATAAAAATAATAATTTGGTTCTTTAAAAGGATTAATAAAATTGACAAACCACTTACAGCTCTAACAAAAGAAAAGAAAAAGAGGATGCAAATAGTAAATTATATGAGGGGCGTTACAACTGAACTAGCTGAAATAAAAAGGATAATAACAGAATACTATGAAGAATTGTACTCAAACAAATTTGAAAATCTAGAAGAAATGGAGAAATTTCTAGAAACAAACTACTCACCTAAACTAATACAGATGGAAGTTGAAAACTTAGCTTACCTGTAACTAAAAAAGAATTTGATGATGCCATTAAAAAATCAAAAAGAGTCTGGGCCCAGATGGCTTTACTAAACATTCAGAGAAGAACTGACACCAATTTTTCTCAAACTACTCCAAACATAGAAAAGGATGGAAAATTCCCAAACTTATTTAATGAAGCAAGCATAACCCTGACACTAAACCAGGCAAAGACATCATTAAAAAAGAAAACCATAGACCAATGTCCCTTATGAACATAAATGCAGAAATTCTTAACAAAATCTTTAACAACAGAATCAAACAATAAATCAAAAATAATATATCATTGCCAAGTGGGATCCATATCTTATACCATGTTCAAAACAGAACTCAACATGGATTAAAGACCTAAATATAAAACCTCTAAATATAAAGATCATCTATTAAAAAAATGGGGACAAACTTAGGAAGTTTGATATTTGGCACTGTAAAATGGTATAATAATTGTGGAAAAACAATATGGCTCTTTCTCAAACAATTGGAAACAGGAACCTCATAAGACCTGGCAATTCCTCTACTTGTTACATATCCTCAAGGAATAAGAACCAAACGAATAGATACGTGCACACCCATGTTCCTCATAAAATTATTCACAATTGCAAAAAGATAGAGACAGCCTAAATGTCCATCAACTGAAGAATGGATGCACAAACATTGGTACATACAAACAATGAATACCAAGCAACCTTCAAGAATAACACTGAATCTGCAAAGCATCTCAAAACATGGATGGACCAGAAGGGCATTGTTGTTGTTGTTGTTAAGTGCCGTCAAGTCGGTTCCGACCCATAGCGACCCTGTACAAGGTTTCCGAGGGTGTAAATCTTTACGGGAGTAGAAAGCCTCACCTTTCTCCCACAGAGCGGCTGGTAGTTTTGAACCGCTGACCTTAAGTTTCGCAGCCCAATTTGTAACCACTACACTACCAGAGCTCCTTAGAAGGGTATTATGCTGAGTGAAATAAGTCAATCACAAAAGGTCAAATATTGTATTACACTATTATTGTTTAAAAGTCAAGAAAAGACTTGTGCTTAAAAAACATTATTTGATGGTTACCAGGGATGTCAGTTCGTTGTACTATGATGGCTTTGTGCTGGAAGTGCTATACCACTGATATTTTAAATATCAGCAGGATCACACATGGTGGATAGGTTTCAGCGGAGCTTACAGACTAAGACAAACTAGGAAAAAGGAGAGATAGACTACTTCTAAATGTTTAGTCACTGAAAACATTATGAAGACAAGAAGAGCTTTATTAAATTTAATGCCAAAAGATGAAACCATTAGGAATAGCACCAGAGCATTATCAGATATAGTACTGGAGGATAAACCACTCAGGTTGGAAGGCACTCAAAAGACAACTGGGGAAGAATTGCCTCCTCAAAGTAGAGTTAATCATGATGATGCAAATGTAAAGCTTTCAGGACCTTCACTTTCTGATGAAGCACAACTCAAAATGAAGAGAAACCGCTGCAAACATTAACTAGAACATAGAATGCATGAAATATGAATCTAGGAAAATTGGAAGTTGTCAAAAATGAAATGAAACACATAAACATTGATATCATAGATAACAGTGAGCTGAAATGGACTGAGATGGGCCATTTTGAATCAGACAGTCATATAGTTTACTACTCCAGAAACAAAAATTCAAGAGGAATGGCCTCACATTCATCTTCAAAAAGAACATTTTAAGATCTATCTTGAAGTATAATTCTGTCTGTGATAGAATAATATCCATACACCTACAAGAAAGGCCCACTATTATTCAAATTTACACACCAACCACTAAAGTCAGTGATAATGAAATTGAAGAATTATACCAACCTCTTCAGTCTGAAATTGGTCAAACATGCAATCAATATGTATTGATCATTATAGGTGATTGGAATAAAATGGTTGGAAACAAAGGAATGAGCAGTAGTTGTAAAATATGACCTTGGTGATAGAAATGATGCTGGAGATCTCATGATAGGATTTGCCAAGACCAATGACATATTCATTAGAAATATCTTTTGTAAACAACATAAAAGATAACTATACATGTGGGCATCATCAGATGGAACACACTGGAATCAAATTGACTATATCTGTGGAAAGAGATGGTGGAAAATTAAATATCTTCAGCCGAAACACAGCTATGGGCCGATTGTGGAACCATCAATTGCTCATATGTAAGTTCATGCTGAAGCTGAAGAAAATTAAAACAAGTCCATGTATATATCCTATCTGAATTTACAGTCCATTTGAAGAATAGATTTGATGCATTATACACTAATGACTGAAAACCAGAAAAGCTGTGGGATGACATCAAGACCATCATACAGGAAGAAAGCAAAAGGTCATTATGAAGATAAGGAAGAAGGAAAAGACCAAAATGGATGTCAGAAGAGACTCAAATTCATCTACAGCACAAAGATGCTCTAATGACTACAAGAAATTTAGAAAACTAAAAGCAGAACAGAAAATTTCAAAGGGCAGCTCAGAAACACAAGGTCAATGGAATGTATAAAGATCTGGAGTTAGAAAACCAAAAAGAAGTACAAGTTCATCATTTCTCAAACTGAGGGAACTGAAGAAAAATTCAAGCCTCAACTTGGATTCTATGGGCAAACTATTGAATGATAGAGAAAGCATCAAAAGAAGATGGAAGGTATACACAGACTCACTATACCAACAGGAAATGGTCGATGTTCAACCATGATCAAGAGCCAATGGTACTGAAGGCAATGGCATTGAAGGTACATTGAAGGCATTGGCAAAGAACAAGTCTCTGGGAATTGATGGGATACAAATTGAAATCTTTCAACGAACTAATGCGACATTGGAGGCACTCACTCATCTATGCCAAGAAATTTGGAAGACAGCTACCTAGCCACCTGATTGTACAAAATCTGTATTTGTGTTCATTCCAAACAGAGGTGACCCAACAGAATGTGGCAATTATCAGACAAGATCATTAACATTTCATGCAAGGAAAATTATGCTAAAGATAATTCAAAAACAACTGCAACTGTATATTGACAGGGAACTGCCAGCCACATTCAGACAAGAACATGGAATGAAGGATATAATTGCTGATGTCAAATAGATCTTGATTGAAAGCAGAGAATACCAGAAAGATGTTTACCTGTGTTTTATTGACTGCACAAAGGCTTTTGGGTGGATCATGACAAGCTATGGACAGCATTACTGAGAATGAGTATTCTGGAACACCAAATTGTGCCTATAAGGAACCTGTATATGGACCAAGAGGCAGTTGTTTGAACTGAAAAAAGGAGAGGGGTACACCAGGATTGTATTCTTACACCATACTTATTCTGTCTGTAGGCTGAAAAAATAATTCAAGAAACTGAGTTATAGGAAAAAAACTTGGCATCAGGATTGGAGGAAGACTCATTAACAACCTTGATATGCAGATGATACAACCTTGCTTGCTAAATGTGAACAGGTCTTAAAATACTGATGAAGATGAAAGACCACAGCCTTCTGTATGGGTTGCACCTCAATGTAAAGAAGACAAAAATCCTCACAAATGGACCAATAAATAACATCAAGATTGAAGTTATCAGAGATTTTATTTTGCTCAGATCAACCATCAACACACATGGAAGCAGCAGTCAAGAAATCAAACGACATATTGCATTAGACAAATCTGCTACGCAAGACCTTTAAAGTGTTGAAGAGCAAAGATGTTAGTTCAAAGAGTAAGGTATGCCTGACCCAAGTCATGGTATTTTCAATAACCTCATATACATGTGAAAATTGGACAATGAATAAGGAAGAAAATGGAAGAATTGATGCACTTATGGTGCTGGGAGAGAATATTAAAAGTACCAAGGACTGAAGAATCAACAAATCTGTGTTGGAAAAAGTACAGCCAGAATGCTCCTTAGAAGCCAGGATGGCCAGACTTCATTTCTCATTATTAGAAGGGACCAGACCCTGGAGATGGACATCATGCTTGGTAAACTGGAGGGTCACAAAGAGGAAGACCCCCAATGAGATGGATGGCAGCAGCAATGGGCTCAAACATAGCAACAATTGTGAGGTTGACGCAGGACTGGGCAATATTTGATTCTTTTTGGTGCATCAGTTTGCTGTGAGTTAGTACCGACTCAACTAACAACAACAAGGGTTACAACTGGCTTGGAATTGATTCGATGGTGCAATATGCTTAACCAAATTCATAGATATGTTTGCAGCAAAGATAAATTCCCATTTGCAAATAACAACAATTGTGAGAATGATGCAGGACTGGGCAGTGCGTTGTGCCTATGCTTCCAAACCAACTCGATGGCATCTAACAACAACAATGTATCTTTGTAGCAGCAGACAGCCTCATCTTTCTCCTGTGGAGCATTGGTGGGCTTGAACGCCAACCTTAGGTTGACAGTCCAGTAGTAATCCTACAGAGCCATCTTGTTCCAAGATCTATCAGTACGTATAAAGATCTGTCTATGCGGAACCAAACTGACAACAGAAACTCTGAAGAGTAGATAGGAACCTTAGGAGGCAGTGAATTTATGTTAAGGGGGAAACAACTCAGAGAAGAAGGGTGAAAATAGTAGCATGACTCAAAAAATGAAATTATTCCAAAAAAAAAAAAAGCTAAAGAGCATAGAGAGAAACACTGTAAACTGATGATATATGGAGGGGATAATAATCAATGTAATGAAACAAGCTAT